AAATTATAATAATATATTTCTAGATATCTAATAGACTAATTTAACGTTTATTAAAACTATAACTAACTATCTATAATTTATAAATTAATAACTATCTTTCAAACTTTAGTAAATAATGATAATTTTTCTTGATTTCATTTATAATTACATAWATTTTTACACATTTTTCTTAAGGTTGCTTTCACGTCTGTTTGTCTGTAATCAAATCTTGCGCGCTCGATTTGAGGCACTTTTTGACGATAAAAAATTCTGAAAATTGGTATAGACCTTGGTCTTGGATGGCAATACAATAATCCGTTGTCATTTTGAGACATGGACCTCCAGGTTGGCGATGACGGGTGTGCAAAGTCATCTCCGAGGAAGTAAAGGTATAATAATATAATAATATAACCATAACAACTACCATCTACCAAAAATATAAATATATATTATCAACATTATATTTAAATTTTTTAACTTTACTTTTATTATTTATAGAATTAGATACCTTCAAACTCATTAGTTAGTTGCTATATTTTTTTGGGGTTATATTTATAATTTTTAAAAAGGTTTTAGTAGGTACCTCCTAATGTATGTTTTTTTTTCCATTATTCCTAACCTTTTTTTTTTAWATATATATTTAATCTGCGATATACTAGTGCCCATAGACATATAAACTAGGTATATGTCCATGCTACTCGTTCGCGCATCCAAATGACCGTCGAGCGTCGACCGACGACCGAGCTCAGCAGTTGCCAGTTTCGTACAAATACAATCGTACCCAAATTGGGTACGATTGTATATATATATACCACTCTACCATCTATATAGTCGCCGCCGTAAATTCCTTCACTCGCCATGTTCGACTGGCGACGGCACTGTCGCGTCGCCCTGTCGGTGGTAGGTGGTAGCGGCGAACAGTGGCGGCGGCCAGCGTTCGGGAAGGTCTAGTGGTGGGAATGCGTGAGATAGGACGAATTTTGGTCGCCGCCCAGTAGCGTTCTTACGATAATACGATGGCACGTCTATAGTATAGAAGGTCTAGCGTGGGGCCTGTAGTTCAGAATCCATGGTGTGGCATAACGCATAAGAGTACTTATGTTATCTATGGTTGGCACGGTATAGAAGATAAAAAAAAGTTATCTTCTATACCATGGCCAACCTAAAAATGTAAACAAACCAATCAGCTGATAGTATATATCAATATTTCGAGTATCGCTTTAATT